CCCTATTATGTCACTCATGTCTCTCGGGGACACTATTCATATCAGTACCTATTATTTCTCAGGGGACTTGAAGGCGCGTTCCCGGGGGGCGCCTTCTATTATTTTGTCAGAGAATATGTTATCATTGCCCTATTATGTCACTCATGTCCCTCGGGGACACTATTCATATCAATACTTATTATTTCTCAGGGGACTTGAAGGCGCGTTCTCGGGGGGGCGCCTTCTTTTATTTTGTCAGAGAATATGTTATCATTGCCTTATTATGTCATTCATGTCCCTCGGGGACACTAGATGGATTGTGAAATCAGGTAAATTATAACCAAAATTTAACTTCTTTTAAAAGTTCAGCAAGTTAAGAATAAATTTTACATATAGATTAATTTAAGTTCATAACTTAAATTAAAACGTTATGTGAAGTTTGAATAAATTAGATAAAATGTTATGGGCAAATTAAATAAATGTGAAGTGATAAGTTGATTGTGACACTGAAATTGTATGGAATGAGCATCGAGATGTTTTTACGAATAAATGTGAAGTGATAAGTTGATTTTAATGTATACGTTTTAATATATATGTTAATGATAAAATCATATGTATGGATAAATTTAATTTCAATTTAAGTATTGTGAACTGTAATTGGAATATAACTTTTAATTTCGAATACAATTGGAATATTAAGTTGAAATTTAATGTTAAATTTCGAATACTATAATTTATATTTTAATTTTAAATTTTGAATAATATTATTTTTATTTTTATTTTAAATTTCGAATAATATAATTTGTATTTTAAAAACATTTATCAAACATTTAATGTTAAATGTGAATAAAAAATAACATTAAAAATATGTATGTAACAACCATGAAACATTTAAATAACATAACCAAATTACATAAAATTCTGAAATATAACTATTTAAATAACATTAAAATACAACTGGATCACCGATGTCGTCTTCTCGAATGAGTTCCACATGGCGGTGGTTGTCTATTTCGTGGAGGATTTCTTCGTGGAACTTGTTATTCAGTCTCTTCATCTTCACTATCATCATCATCAGCATTTTCTTCATTTGGTGTAGATGACGCTGAAGAGGCTGAAGGGCCTGTATAAAATAACGACCCTTGAAGAGTGCTAGTAACAATCCCACCGCTCCTCAGGAACTGTGAAAACTGTGGAAACATTGGCATCGATGTCTGTGATCCAGATGGAGATTGAGGTGTCTGCAGAGTAGCACCACCAGCCAAATAAGATGCATATGAACCATATGCTGGATCATTAAACTTAGTCGCATATGCACCTCCATATGGTATAAAACCCTGCGGGCTAGGCATGTAACCTGGCGGGCTAGGAATGTAACCCTGCGGGCTCGGAATATAACCATGCGGAGATGACATATGAACTGGTGGGCTTGGCATATGAAGTGGAGGGCTGGGCATGTACCCCTGCGACATCGGCGGATAAGGATGTTGTGGTGGGACTGATGCAGAACTGGTAGCGCCTTCTCTCCGTACACGCGTCGGGGGACGATGATATTGAGACGGTTGATGTCTTTCTCGGTGCCTAGGAATGCTAACCCCTCGTGCTTCCACCGAAAGTAGAAACGGCTTCACATTTTCATTAAACCAGTCCATATAGTTATCCGTAACCATATGACCAATTTCAGCGTAATATTGTCGAGGGGCCAACAGTGCATATCAGTTCTCCCAAAGCGCAATCCAATCTCTGTGTCTCACCACCCAATTAACCTCTTTCTTTCCTCGTCTATCTATGTTATGCACGTAGTCTAAATTCCTAGGTGCTCCAGGAATATATTGCGTACAACCATACTGGCGGAGCATACGATCAACTGGATGCCACTCAATAATAGCATAACATATAAGAGGTATAACCGACATCCATACCTCTAATGACCCACTAAGGTGGGGTGGGATGCAAGCATTCACTTCATCGCTCGCATAAGGTATCCACTGAAACTGAAATATAAATATACAATTCAAATAAATAAAATATTCTAATTATATCTAGCATTTTAAATTAAAATATTAATATTTAAACAGATTTAAAAACATACCTCAGACCCAGCTTTCATATCAATAAGTAAACGAATTTCCTCTAACCCAATAGGTATACTTTTATAGTTCTTTCTTTTCATCGACCACCTATGAAATATAATATAAACTAAATATCACCCTATTTAATTAAAAATATTTAAATCAAAATTTAGTTCGAAAATTACCTCAACAATAAGAGGAGTACGTATGGTTCATTCACGATCGGGCATAAGAAAGGCATGCAGAACCACACCCATGATTGTAGAAGCAAGAGACATCAACCGATAGCCATTTTCTTATAATTCGTCGCCCGACACATTTCTCTAAAGAGAAATGTCAAAACTGCAACGCCCCAACTATATCTTCCAGCTTCATCAAAATCGATCAGATGCCGCAACCACATACAATGCACCTGGTTGCGAGATTTGTCGGGCATCAATATTCCTCCAATTATTCGTAGAATATATGCCCGAGCACATGCCTTTGCTTGATCCTCTGAAGCATTTTCATTTAAAACCTCAAAATTAGCTTTTAACCAAAATAAAGCTATTCTACCTCCATTAAACTCTGGCGGAGCAGCTCCAAGGTAATCAATGCACATTGACTGGCAATCACCATCCACCATACCACACATCATATTTCCGTCGACGGGAAGCCCCAGATGCATAGAGATATCCTCCAATGTAATTGTGGCCTCTCCACATGGAAGGTGAAAAGTGTGTGTCTCGGGCCTCCACCTCTCAATCAGTGCAGAAATTAGGACATGTTCGAGTTTGCAACCGCCAATGATTGTTGCAATATACCCGAACCCGGCAGAAGCCAAATATGGTAAAATACGTTCCGGTGTCGGTATACGTGGATTTTTAATAAAAGTCTCTAAAATACGATCAGTATCCTAAATAATATACATTATAAAAAATTAAAATTAATATAAATTCATAATAACTTTAAATTAAAAATAAATTTAAATATTAACATTAATTATAAAAAATATTACCATATCGCTAAAATGTCTGGAGATATGATCAACATCCAATCGCAGCAGCATTTCGTTTTCCATTATAACTGTAGACAAAACAATATAATTAGCACAAAAAAAATTAATAATTCTAAATAAATAATAATTATATAAATATTATTTTAATAAAAAAATAATATTTATATAAATATATTAATATAAAATATAATAACTATTTAAAAAATACTAACATAAAAATAAATTTCTTACCACTAATAAAAAAATTTAAAACTCAAATAGTTGGAGAATTTAAGTTATATAAGAGAGGAGAATATGATTTTGGTGTGAAGAATGAGGGAGGGTTGAGGGGGTTTATATAGGGGAGGAGGAGGGGTAGTTAGGGAAAACGGATAGGGGCATTTATGGCATTTAAAGGAAGGCGCGTCCCCGGGGATGCGCCTTCCACATGTGGCAGTCGAGTCATCAGAATCCCGTGAAGGTGCGTCCCCGGGGATGCGCCTTCCACACGTGACATCCAACTCAGCGAAAACTCGGATAAAGCATGTCCCCAGGAACGCGTCTTTCTCCAGCGCAACCGAAAGAGTGCCACTTCGAAAAATATATATCAAACGGTGCTAAAAAAGTAAATATTCGGTTAAACAATATTAGTTTGGTCAAATCGCCTAATAATAATATGGGCGCGTTAGAAAAGAATAGAGGAAAACATAAATGAAATATAGGGCGGGGGCCAAGGGAAGAGTATGCATGTGGGTCTGCAACCCTGGTGTCGCCGGACACCCCAACAAACCTGACACCGCTAACTCGTCTCTTTAATTAGGCCATGCTAGCCTTTCTCCATATTCCTTCTCTCCTTCTTACTACACCTTCGTAATCATTCCCCCACACTTAACTTCTTCGCACGTGTACAGCTCGATCCATGCTCATTTCCGGTTTCCCAACGTGCCCTAACACCTCCCCACTCACAAGACTTGCAAGTTTTTCCTTTTACCCCAAACTTCCAATTCCTAGTAAAAGCCTCATCAGTTCGACCCGAGTTGGCAAGTACGGTCAGTTTTTAATCAACATTTAAGAGGTGGGGTTAAACCTAAAACCCCACTATTAATTGCTCTCTATTTGTCGCTTTTTGCACTCACTGTTTCTGTTTTTAAGCATAAAACCTCCTGCAAATCTGATTTTTTTATAAGCATGGAAGAAAGGGTAAGTATGTTTTGGTATATGTGGCATGGAAATAAAATTGTGCTTAATTATCAACGTCACAAAAACAGCTAAAAGCATAACATCGTGTGTTTAGGCAGTAGGCTTTCAAAGAGTGGAGGTAAAAAACAAACTGTATACATCTAATAGGGCTTATATATGCGTCGTCTGCATGTAGAAAAGAGCTAGTAATAAATTAAAGCAGCTGCATAGTTTGAGCTTTAGGGGATAAGTATTTTTGGCCCTGCCTGCTTTGCCAGTCAATCTGTGCAAGAAAATTTAAACCCAGAATATTCTAGTTTTAGGAAAAGTTAGGATATTATTACATTAGAAGGAAGAAAAATAAAAAGTTATATGATATAGACTCAAATTTCCATTTCAAATATATATATATATGGACTGAGATTATTTGATTATTATATTATTGAAATAATATATATATATATATATATATATAATTAAATATATTTAAATGTTTATATATTTTTTATTTATAATTGTATTTTTTTTAATAATATACATAATTTAACAAATTGTATGTTTTTTTCTGAATTTTAATCATTACATTTTTTTCAAATATGAAGTTTAAGTCATTTTTATAATTTTATAAAATAGGAATTAACCCTTTTAAGTAGAAAATAATAGTATTGTGATGCTTTAAGCTTGAATAATAACCTTTTTTTTTCGAATTCCAAAATATCCCTGGCTCATGGCTGGTTTTTTGGCACCTCTTTTTTCATTCCCCGTTACAAAAGATAATGGAAAATAAGGCACCTTCTTCCTTCACTCCCTTTCTCTTTCTCTGTGCAAGGGAGGAAAGGTGTCTGATCTTTCTCTGCATCTTTAAATACATAAGTTGCCCTTTTTACGATCTTTTCCTTAAAACTAGCATCCCCAAAAACAACTCTGATTATTTACTTTCTCTTCACCTGCAATTCTTTCCTTTATTGTTTAATCTGACTGCTTAATGGTTGTAGTCTCTGCAATATTTTTTCTTTTTCTATAAAACCTAGACAGATCCTACTAAAAAGCCTATATTTCTCTTCACACGCTCCCTCTTTCAAGATTCACACACCATGCAACTTAATCATGTGGCACTCATGATATAATCACAACACTTTCCTTGCCTTCCTTTTCGGCTCTCTTCGTTTGTTTAACTTCGAAGTTTTAAACCCACTTTTCCTGTCGATTTTCTTCTCTTTTTTCTTGTTTTGGCAGTGTTTTGCTTACGCTTCCCTTCATTCATTCTCCCTATTCTAATATCTTGTCTCTGTTAACACATCCTCCAGGGGCTTTTTGACTAAGATCTTCACCTCTTCTTTATGTTCATAAGCTCAAATACCATAATGAGAACTGCACCTTTGTCTGATCTATCCTTGCAGATTAGCCCACCATCTGTTTCAGATTGTAAAGCTAAGGAAATGGTTTACGATGTTTTATCAGGAAAATCAATCTATAGTGATAGGAGCTCGGCGACTGATTCTGGAAGTAGCGGAAGCGATTTGAGCCGTGAAAATGGATACGGTAATCCATTTCTTGGAGAACCGACTTTGAGCTTAGGGTTCGAAAAAGCAGATTTGGGTTATCCCCATTTGCAGCAACCAAGAAACCTTCATCAGCAGCATTATCAGCCTCAAATATGTGGTCGTGATTTCAAGAGATATGCAAGAATGATCAATGGAACTGTGAAAAGAAGCGTCAGAGCTCCCAGAATGAGATGGACTACAACACTCCATGCCCATTTTGTTCATGCAGTCCAGCTGCTTGGAGGCCATGAAAGTAATTTACTTCTTTTTCCCCCCTTTTCCTGTTACTGCAAAATACCGAAAATAGATATCTTTATTTTGAAAGAAAAAAACATATCAAGCTTACATATTTGTATTGGCAACTGTCACAGGAGCAACACCAAAATCAGTCTTAGAGTTGATGAATGTCAAGGATCTAACCCTAGCTCATGTGAAGAGTCACTTGCAGGTGGGATTACTTTGGGAATTCTTAAATTCTTTCAACTTATGTAGAAATATAGACTTTTTTTCTTATTTTCTTCTCTGTGTGTGTTCTGTGTTCATGCAGATGTATAGAACAGTGAGGATTACCGACAAAGGACCAGGTAATTGGATCCCGCCTCAAAGGACTATTATCATTTTTATTTCTCTTCTATTATTTGTTTCTCTTTGTTTGAGACCAAACTTTTATGACCAAGTATGACAGAAAGTTATATCATCTGATGCACTATTCCCAACTAAACCAGAACCATTTGGATTTATTAGAGTGTAGCTAAAATCTAAAATATGAATTATTTGTTGGGTGTTTCAGGTCAAGGGCAGACAGACATGAGTTTGAACCAAAGGATGGGGATTGTTGATTCGGATGGAACACCATCTTCCGCAAAAGCTGACCCTAACGCTTCTTATTCTCTCAAACTATCAACAACTTCACCACAAACGCTACCACAAAGGACCCAAAGGTTATCCAGCATATCTGCAGCATCTTCTCTCACTATTCTTCTTTTTAATTAGTTTCTTTATGTTAGAAGCTGAATATTATGGTCTTCTCTATTTTCTCAAAGTTAAGGATACGATAAGCCTAATCTAAATGGATGGATTAACCCAAAGCCATCGTACATGCTCGCATATACATGTATCCTAGGCCATGGACAGCTTTGGTCCTAGTGCCACGAGGTAGATGAGGCCATTTTATTAGTCACGAGTACATAGATTTTGATGAAGATCACCTAGGGTTTTTTAGGCTAGCTAAGCTATTTCGTGTTCCATTCCAAAAACAAATCCATGCATTTCCACCCGTTAGATTTCGAATTAATTCCTATATCTCTATCTACTAATAAATTAATTGTATTTTTCTGTTTGTTGCCTCTTTTCGTTGACTTTCCCAAACAATTTCTCAGTATAATATATCTTATATATGTTTGAAAAAGAGTTGCATGCTTTGTTTGATAGAATCAATCAATCCTATGAAATTTATATCAGCGTCCAATATGTTCCATCTTGAATAAATCACCATAAAACAATTAGAAATGAACTGCAAATAAGACCCTGTTTCCAGTATACATCTTTACTGGGGTATAAGAGTGCAATATTTTGGTGTTTCTTACAATTCTTTTGTTGGCGTTTCTTGCTTGTTTGCAGCGGTTCATGGTTATCCTCAACGGAGACAAATAATTTGAGCATATCAAACCATGGAAGCGGCTTGACGTTTGAGCCAAATAAGGCTAAGGTATGATTGTATCGCTGAAATCAAAACCCAACATGTTGAAAACTTGAAAGTTCAAATAATGCTATCATTGTGTTGATTATCAATCTTATGATCAACTTTTGGTTTTGCCATAGGTTGATGGGGACAAGGCGGCACTTCATGTCCCGGATAGAATGAAGGAAAGATTAGATTCCGGCTCCTTGTCACCTTCAGACATGTTCCTTAACCTAGAGTTCACCCTCGGAAGGCCAAGCTGGCAAATGGACTACGCTGAATCTTCAAATGAGTTAACTCTTCTCAGGTGTTAGACACCATAATAAAACCAGCTAATATAATGTTTTCCCTGTAATTTGGGTAGAAATGCATGTCTAACTTGCATGAACTATCTTGTTCCATGCTCTTTAAATTTTGTCTGAAAAGAAAATGTCTGTAGCCTTGTGAATGTCGTCGGATCGCCACCTTTGTGCCATGAAATTTTGATGGAATTATGAAAAACAAAGAAGATTAGAATATTAAAAAATCCAGCGATGATATTGATATTTCCGAGCCACAGCCTATAGTGGTGCTACTGATAGCTAGCTAGGGTTATGCAGACTTTCCAGGAGGGTCCCCAACAATAAACAAGTGGGTCAGTCCCTAGTACGAAATTAATATCTGAGACAGTTTATCTCAATCAATTTCGCATTCGGTGCGCTGTCTGAAACATTGAGCTGGGTTGATATGATTGTAGCCAAGATTTCAACGCTAATGTCGCATACAGGGCACAGGCCTTAGAAGTTTGAACGTACGGCGTGATAAGAGATGGTCCAATCCACGTCTACTGAAAATAAAAAATCACGACCCTATTACATATTAATTCAGTTGTAAGTACTCCAATTTCAAAGAAAAAGAAAAAAAGTTGAGTACTCCAATCAGAAAATCATCCTCTCGGGACCCCATTTTTCAGAGTGCTCATCAATAATGATTCATGATCGTTTTTCTTTTACCCCGGATTAGCTTGGAAAGAGAAAAACATGCATGTATATCCATTAATAAAATGCACATAATATATCCCATAAGCAAAATTACAAATATTTGTCGGCAAAAATAATACAGCCATTCCCTCTTTTCAATCTCAACGGGATCAATCTTTCTCGTGAAAAGTTTCCAAATAACAGAGACTGGACGTTAATTTACATTATTTAGGAAAATAATAAGGTTTGTATAAGTTGGTGTCCATTAAATATGACAGTCATGATCAAGTATATTTTGTTGATTAACCAAGTTGTTTATATTTGTTCATTATATTCTCTTAAATTCTATACTTACCTTTCTTTCTCTAGAGTCTAGAGTTCCCTTCCCCTCCTCTCTAATAAGATTAAGATTAAAATTAAATTTAAAATTTATCAAAAGAAATATTACGATATAAATGGATGGCATACTGTTACAAAAACCATTAGGAAGAAAGCAAACAGATAAGTTTTGGTGATTGTTATTTGATGGCGGGTTTAAAAATAATTTTTAGAGTAGAACAGATATTAATTACATGACTTTTTTGTATTAAATAAATGTATTTTAGAGTATATATCACTAATAAAATAAAAAATTAATATAAAAAATTCAAATTTTAATATAAACATCGACGCACCATAAACTCCATTCACATGAGCCAGTGCTGTAATTGCCCATGCCCTTTTGATTCATCATTGCAGTGAGGAAAATGAAATATTGTACTTTTTCATTTGGATAGACGGTGCACAGTCCCTATCAACTTTTATTACCCAATGACTTCAATTCCTGCCATGTCATGCCTGTACATTTTCTTCTACACTAAACAGAAAAGCACTTCGGATCCAATTTCGATTCTGTTCTGATTGTCACAGGTGGGTTCCATTCGCTGAAAATCAAAATGATTCTGGGTCTTGTTCGACCCTGTCTTTGCCATTATTAGGCCTTTCAAAGCTTTGGGGTCCGTAGAAAATAAACAGAGGGCGTTGGAAATTGGGAACTGCTCAACCGGCCCTTGATATTGTCGATGATGATTGCAGGGTTGTCTGTTCCGTGGAAATTGTGCCTGTCAAAAAGGACAGCGTTATTATTTTTTTACATCGAAAAATCTTGACAAAATTTCCGTCGTTGAATCAACTGTTCTTTAGTAATTAGTAGTTCTCGGCTAAATTTCTTTAGTAAAAAGATCCTTGGGGCAAAATATTTACATACCCTGTATTACTTTTATTTTCATTGTCTTGAGCTCCTCTGTTTTTCTCCTTCTCAGTTCTTTTGGTTTTTCTTGTATAGCATTGTATTTTGTATGTATATATATAATGTATTTTTGGTAAAACATTTTTTGCTTTCTCCGAAGATCAGTTAAAGTAAAGTTATAATCAATAAACCAACTTTCAAGTTTATTCAGACAAAGTATGCAGTTCACTCAGTTTCTTCTTCAAACATTGATGTCCTTACTCATCCTATGACACTAGAAAGACCTATGACACTAGAAAGAAGTAGAAGGATGTTTATGAGTTATTTATATTTGACTGAATCCGATGTAGTTAAAAGCTGAAAGATTTGTTATTAGTCTTAAAGAATTTGATGTTGGGATCTTTCGAATTGATCCCTTTCAGGTTTGGTAGAAAGATTTCTTCTGCAATGTATTTTGGACTCCAGATGGTTTACTTGACATTGATTAGCCTTTTGCAGCCATTTGAGGTCTCAATCCCATCGAATGCGGCAGTTTATGTGACGGAAGAAGCTAGACTATCGAACATGAAAGCTACCCCATTTGAAGTTGTTGTTAAACCTCGCCTTTCATCTAAAATTTACGAAGAGTAGTAGAGAATAATAACGTAAAAAGCATGAAAGTTGCTGTTAAGCAAAACTAAAAGTCCATAGTAGTCGATATTGTAATGTATTTGATCGAGTGATTAACAATTTTTATGTTATTTCACTTTGAATAAGTTTAAATTTTAGTATTTACCTAAAGGTAATATTTTTTTACTTATTGCGTTTAATCAAACTGATTTTGTTAAAGGTTGCAGGATTATTGAGAACACTTTTGTTGGCTCAGGAGTTGGTTAAAAGGGTATACTAGGAGGTCCCTCTCACCTAGGTGTGCTCTTAAAATTGACCTCCAAAAGCTTTTGATTCCTTAAGTTGAGAGTTCATTGTACGGGTGCTTGAAGCCATTAGTCTTCCTGAGAAGTTTCGGGGGGTGGATTGTTGCTTGTTTGACTACTCCTAAGTTCTCTATTGTGTTGAATGGCAGTTTGACGGGGTATTTTTTTGGGGGGGGGGAGGAGGTGGGGTGTGTTGCGGAAGACGGCTATCGGATAGAGCAAAATCGCAACTGATAATTTGAGAAAATAAAAATGAAGATAAAAAGAGACACAAAATTTACGTGGAAAACCCCTAAATAAAATAGGGTAAAAACCACGGGCAACGGTAGAAGAATTTCACTATGAGAAAATAGGAATTACAACCTCTCTCGATCTACCAATGAGAAAACAATGATAATTCTCTCTCGATAAAAAAAAGGAGAAAACAACTCTCAAGAAACTCTCTAAATTCTCTCTAGTATTGTAAGATAGCTAGAATGCTTTGGGATGATTTTGAAGCTAAATGAGCTAGGGTATTTATAGTTGAAACCTAAGGACTAATTTGTAAATACCCTAAATTACAATGGCTAAATTATGATTCTACCATTGTCTAAAATTCAACATTTTCTGCCACCTAAAGCAATTTCCACTTTCGGTGGATTTTTTTTTTCTTTCTTTATTATCACCTTTCGGTGATTGAGAAGACTTTTCAACAATCTCCCACTTGAAGATTTGATTGGAACAATCATATCTTCACATCATTCTTTCTACCTTGTACCTTCATGTTGCTTACGTCTCTGATAGGCCACAAGAGGATCGACACCAAGTAAATTTATCAGCGTTGATCGCCTTCGTCATGAAATCTGCTATGTTGTCTTTGGTATGGATCTTCTGTATATCTACCGTCCCTTCTTCCACCTTTTCACGAATGAAATGATATTGAACTCGTATGTGCTTTGTTCTTGAATGAAATGCTGGATTCCTTGCTAGATGCAAAGCGCTTTGACTGTCACAAAACAGAGAGACATACTCTTGATTGTGCCCAAGCTCCTCCAATAGCATCTTCAACCAAATTGCTTCTTTACTGGCTTGTGTAGCTGCTACATATTCTGCCTCTGTTGTGGATGTAACCACAACTGACTGCAATTTTGAAACCCAACTTACAGCTCCACCAGCAACTTTGAACACATATCCTGTAGTAGATTTGCTTTTATCCAAATCCCCTGCATAGTCAGAATCTACATACCCATTGATTAGTAAGTTTGATCCTCCGTAACATAATGCAACATTTGAGGTCCCTTTGATGTATCTCAGGATCCTCTTTAATGTATTCCAATGCTCTTTGCCTGGATTCGCCATGTACCGACTAACCACTCCCACTGCTTGTGCAATGTCTGGTCTTGTGCATATCATAGCGAACATTAAACTTCCCACTGCTGATGCATACGATACTCGAGACATCTCCATCTTCTCTTCTTCACTGCTAGGACTCATACTGGAGGATAATTTGAAGTTAATAGGAAGATGGGTAGAAATTGGCTTACAATCTTGCATGCTAAATCGTGACAAGATTTTCTTCAAGTAATTCTTTTGTGAAAGCCAAATCTTCATATTGCTTCTGTCTCGGTGAATTTGCATCCCTAGAATCTTGTTTGCTGATCCCAAGTCCTTCATTTCAAATTCCCTAGCCAGTTGTGCCTTCAATTCTTCAATATGATCTTTGTTGGGTCCTGCAACCAACATGTCATCCACATACAACAACAATATAACAAAATCGTTATCACCAGACCTCTTGAAATAAGCACAAGGGTCTGCATTAAGTCTGTTGTATCCAAGGCACATAATGAAGGAATCAAATCTCTTATACCAACACCTCGGCGCCTGCTTTAGACCGTACAAAGATTTGTTCAACCTGCAAACCAAGTTCTTCTTTTCGTCTTCTTCAAAACCTTCAGGTTGGAGCATATAAATCTATTCTTCAAGATTTCCATGAAGAAAAGCCGTTTTAACATCTAGCTGCTCTAGATGTAAGTCCAATGTAGCACACATTGCCAAAACTACTCGAACTGTTGTTAGTCGAACCACAGGAGAAAATATTTCATTGAAATCAATACCTTCTTTTTGAGCATATCCTTTGACCACCAGTCTTGCACGATACCTCTCAACTTGATCGTCACCATTTCACTTGATTTTGAAGACCCATTTGTTACCAATTGGCTTCCTTCCTTGTGGTAGTGGCA